ACCATGGCACTCTACCAAGGGCAAAAAAGTGAGAGACTATCTCAAATTAAATAAATAAATAAATATAAAACTGGTTCCCTGAGGAGCTGCTGCGTTCCAGGAAGGGGGCCCAGGGGTTTAGGTAAAACCCACCACCATAAGGGACCACTGTAAAGAGAAGACTCACAGCTCTGTCCAGAGGAGATGTGTAAGTGTATTCTCTAACTTACATATCTTTCTATATCAAAAGCATGACAACTAACTTGATCATTAGAAGCATAAGCCAGTATTTTTCTTAGAAACCTAACTTTAAAACAAATTCCATGGTTCTACTTTTAAAGAAATACAAGAATTTATATGTTTACTTTTTCCATTTGCCGTCTTTAAAATACTTGACAACGTAGCCTATAAATTACTATAACCTAATTTTAAATTAGTAATTAGTGTTCACCATCACTGTGGTTATCTTTGAACATAATCTCACTTTAGGTTTTAAAGCTAAAATAAGTGATACTAAGGATCACGTGTGTGTAAGTGGGTCTGTAGTCTAAACAGGAGCTGTCTACAGCACTAACGGTGAGCAGGGACACAGGATTTCCAGGTGAGCGACCTTGTGGCTGTGAGGCTGGAGCACAGGCCCACGGGCCAGGGACCAACTCATGTGGGACACTCTGGATGAGGACACAAAGCCAGGTGCCTGCCCATGTGTCAACAGCCCGGGATCACAGCACCTGGCAAGTGGCAGACACCCAGTTCTCCTTGAATTAACTACACCAAAATAAAGACCTTAATTCACTCATCCACAAGCAAATCTCACCCCAAAATATATAAACCACAACAAAACAAAAATGTCCCAATGAGACCCAGACAAATGCTAGAGTCCTAAACAGGTTTCTCTCTACCTGGAGCTACTCAAGAACAAAGCCTAAATCAAACTAGGCCATAGAAGTGAATCTTCTGTGAAGTGAATTCGGACATACTCAACTCTTTCTGCTATTACTTAAATAGCTAGAAAACCTTCTAAGCTTTTCCTCAACTCTCTTTTCCTTATAAAACCAAAGTACAATAGTTGATGTAATAGTTCTTCAGTCCTTTTGAGTTGCATCAATTAAACATGGTCAGCCAGGGCAGCACCTATAGCTCAAAGGAGTAGGGTGCCGGCCCCATATGCCTGAGGTGGTGGGTTCAAACCCAGCCCCGGCCAAAAACTGCAAAAAGATTAAAAAATAAACATGGTCAGCCAGGCCCAGGGGCTCACACCTATAACCCAGCACTTTGGGAGGTCCAGATGGGAAGACTGCTTGAGCCTAAGAGTTTGAGGCCAGCCTGGGCAACATAGGAAGACCCCGTCTCTATTTGTTTATTTATTTTTTTGAGACAGAGTGTCACTATGTCACCCTTGGTAGAATGCTGTGGTATCACAGCTCACAGCAACCTCCAACTTTTGAACTTAAGTGATTCTCTTGCCTCAGCCTCCTGAGTAGCTGGGACTACAGGCGGCCACCACAATGCCCAGCTATTTTTTTTGTTGCAGTTGTCACTTTTTAGCTGGTCCAACCTGCCACCCTCAGTGTATATGGCCGGCATCCTGCCAACTGAGCTACAGGTGTCACCCCCATCTCTATTTAAAAATAGGAAAAGCTAGCTGGGTGTAGTGATATGCACCTCTAGTCCCAGCCCTGTGGGATGATCTCTTGTGCCCAGGAATTCAAGGCTATGGTAAGCTATGATCATAACATTGCAGTCCAGCCTGGGAAACAGAATAAGACTCTGCTGCAAGATAAATAAATAAATAAATAAAAGTATAGCCAGGCGTTGTGACAGGCACCTGTAGGGCCAGCTACTTGGGAGGCTGAGACAAGAGGATCACGTAAACCCAAAAGTTTGAGGTTGCTGTGAGCTGTGACACTACAGCACTCTACTAAAGGAAACACAGCGAGACTCTGTCTCAAAAAAATAAATAAGTAAATAAAAGCAAAAACCACAATGGCATTCAGAACCCTCGGTGCATCGACCGTTGAAGAGTCAGGCTGGCCGGTCACAGTAATCCCAGCACTCTGGGAGGCCAAGACAGGAGGATGGCCTGAACTCACAGGTTCCAGACCAGCCTAAGCCAGAGCAAGACACCATCTCTAAAAAATAGCTGGGCATTGTGGCGGGCACCTGTAGTCCCAGCTCCCAGGGAGGCTGAGGTAAGAGAATCACTTAAGCCCAAGAGTTTGAGGTTGCTGTGAGCTATGACGCCACAGCACTCCACCCAGGGCAATAGCTTGAGGCTCTGTCTCAAAAAAAAAAAAAAAGAGGCAGACAGTAACCTATCATTTTAGTTCTGATAATATGTAAACATTTTAAAATAAGGGCACTATTCCAAAGGCAATTTGTAACCTACTCTCCTCAGTAAGAGTTCATTTGTCTCATCACAGGCAAATTGCTGCTGAGTTTTCACAAGCTTCTAGAAGCCCAAATGGGTTTCAAACCCTTGAGCTCCCAGGTGGTTTTCATCACAACAGTGTCGTGACCCCTAAGGCCCTTCTCAGTCGCCCCAGGAAGGAACCGGGTGTGACACAAAGTAGAAGTACAAGCTTGTGAGAGGCGGGCTAACCTTCAGTGCAAGGTAGCCCCGTGCCCGCTCCGCAATGGCTATTTATTAAGATTATACACAACAGGTGTGGAGAGTTAAGATAATGACATATACAACAGGTGTGGAGAGTTAAGGTAATTACATACAAGGGCTGCAGTCATAAGGCTGCCACTGCTTTCCTCATGTGTTCTTTCCCCACAACCCCCATGAAGAACTACTAAGCATCAATGTTTAACATATGCTTACTAGTGAGGGACCGATCTTATCTTATTCCAGAACGCTGAGTTACTTGGGGGATTGCCAGGAGACTGTCCTGTTCTCAGGGTTTCCTTTTAGTGTGATAAGAATCAGTAACTGTCCTTTGCAAGCATGGTGTCCATTCCTCTACACAACAGACATTCATGGAGCTCTGAAAACTCCCTCTCCAGAAACAAGTTGGTGAACAGTTGTGGGAAGGGGGTGATAGGTGCCAGTTCCCAACAAAGGCCAAACCACTGCTATTGCCTCAGGACCACATGTCTCTCAGAAATCACCAGAAACTTCCAGAGAGACTTCTAGGGGACACACAGTGGCCAGGAGGCCCAAGCCTCCCTGCAAGGCAGGCTGGGCCAACTCGCAGCCCATGGCCTGGCTGTGTGGCAGCAGGTCTTAGTGCTCCCCCAGAAGAGGGAGCACACTGGACATGTTTTTCTTTTTTACTTTAGACAAGAGTCTCACTCTGTCACCCTGGGTAGAGAGCTCACAGCAAACTCAAACTCTTGGGTCTGAGCTCTCTTCTCACCTCAGCCTCCTGAGTACCTGGGACTACAGGTATAAACCACTATGCCCGGCTAATTTTCCATTTTTAACAGAGACGGGGTCTCACTCTTACTTAGGCTGGTCTGCAACTACTGAGCTCAAGCAATCCACCCTCCTCAGCCTCCCAGAGCGCTACAGGATTAGAGGTGTGAACCACTGCGTCCGGCCAAGACACCCTTCTAAAAAGTTGTTATAAAATGACAAAGTAACAAACAAAACGACTGAAAAGGATGTAACTTTATTATTTCCACTGTGTTCTCCAAAGGAACTCAGTGCTGCAGTCCTGAGATGATTAGAATTCTTTCCTGCAGAACTTAAAGGGGATCACTTTTAAAATACAGTTTTACCAAAAAAAAAAAAAAAATCAATCTTTAAAAAGTAGGTACCATTTAGGAACTTCAACCCACACAGAAGAGCAGAGGAAAGAGGCCTCCTGTGAGAAGTGCACCCAGCCACATCTGGGAGTGAGGCAGACACAGGGTGCAGGAGGAGCTGAGCAGCAAAGGAGGCCGCCTCTGATACCCCTTGGCAGATGCGAGACTATCTTCCTGGGGGGTGGGGGAGACAGTCTCACTCTGTCCCACTAGGGAGAGGGCCGTGGCATCATAGCTCAACAGCAACCTCAAACTCCTGGGCTCACGCGATCCTCCTGCCTCAGCCTCCTGAGTAGCTGAGACTATAGGCACCTGCCACTGTACCCGGTTAGTTTTTTTATGTTTAGTACAAACAGGATCTCGCTCTTGCTGAGGCTGGTCTTAAACTCCTGAGCTCAAGCAATCCACCTACCTCTGCCTCCCAGAGTGCTGGGATCATAGGTGTGAGCCACCACACAGGCCTTGCAAAGACTATTTTAAGAATCAAACTCCTTTTACAACATAAATATTACTGTTCAAAAGACTATAAGACCCATGACTTAAACCTCTTCTTAAACTTAAGGTTTTGAAAATCTCCCAAGAAACTCCTTGGTTTTGCTATGTTGCTTGAGCTGGTCTTGAACTCTTGGGCTCAAGCAATTCCCACCCCCACTGCCTTGGCCTCCCACAGTGTTCGAATTATAGGCATGAGCCACCACACCCAGCCTGATCATTCTATTTAAAACCATTTTTCGCCCTATATACCTTATGAGATTTAATATAGTTGTAGCTTACATCGGATTTTAAAAGATTTAAACTAATGCTAATCTCAAAAAATAGTGCATATCTAGAGTAAACAAATATTTCTTAGAGTAAACAAATTTAAAACCGTTAATATTTTAACATTAAATTTTCCCATGTTTCACTGCTATGAAGAACATGTTAACAAAATAAAAGAATTCCATAAATAAATTTTAAAGGTATCAGCCCTTTTAGCTACTAACAAGAAGTCTCACAATTATTTCTCACCTTATCCTGGGAAAAATTAGACAGAAACTATTAAGCTTTCCCATTGTTAAAATATAGAGACCAAACTGGAATGTCTTTTCTGAAGCCTGTGGGTGAGAAATCTGTACCAGGCAGAGAAACGGCCCAGCCACAGCTTGGCATGTGAGGCGTGTCAGGAGAGCTGGAAGAGATAGTTACCCAGGGTTCCTCGGCTCACTCTCCCGTGAACTTCCTCCCTTCAGCTTCCTAACCAGCTTCTCACTGCTGCGTCTAATGGAAGCCCGGAGTTTGCTAAAGGAACCACTGCGTTTTAAAGATCCAGTGCCATCCTGAAAAAAACGTGAACAAATGTGAAGCTGCAGGTGGTTCTCCCTCTCATCCGCAGGAGTACAGCTGGATGCAAACAGGCGTTGGCACCAAGGCTGCCCTGCTCACTGGGACTCACTAGGTACACGAGTCCCACAGAAACCACCAATTTGCCAGGTACAAAAATATACTTTAAACAGAAAGTATCCTTTTCAAGTGCATTAAAGATAATCCAATGTTATGGAAACATTTGAACATGAGAAAGCTCATTCAAACAAAATAATCATATCCCAAATGGAAAATGAATTATATTGCTATTTTGAGACAAAAGATTGTAGCACACAAAGTCTCGAGAAAATTAAAGCAGCTTCTAGGAATTTCACCAAAGTCAAACCCCCATTTAATAAACAGGTAAGTATCTGATCGAGGTTATTACAGGACCCAAAACATTTACACAGGACAAAGGCTGCTTCCTTGTTACAATTCATCTAAATGTAATACTTGGATAAAATGTTTCCTTCCATCAATCTTACAGAGCAGTGGCATTAAATGTTTATTATAAATGTGGTTGGAAAATTAAATGTTCATCCTATACAAGTAATTGCAATTGCTCAGATACCCTGTCGGAAGCGGGTCAGAGTACCCAGCTTTCATCTTAATTGATTCAGACATTAATACGTAAAATACTCGGCAATATCTGGACATGAAAATAAAAAACGCAGAGTGAAGAAAATGTGTATTCAGCCATGTTTATTCTCAGAATGAATCACTTAGTGAGATTAATTAACATTGTCCCCGTTACTTCCAGAAGCTACGCCATGCTGCACTTCGTGGGACAGGTGAGAAGTTCTACTGAGCAGACAGACACCAAGGTACAGGTCAGTTGGAGTAAGTTTATTAGAAGTTAGAAAGACACAAATACACAACTCACCGAGCACTGAGAGATTAGTAGAGAAAGCAGAATGCCCGAATCCCACACAGACTACACAGCAAATGCTACTGGGGTGTACCTAGGAAAGCCCAGGTCCAGGCAGGGCTCCCTGGGCTCTCGGTACCTCGGAGCACGTGCAGCACACACCTGACTCTGGGGGCTCAGCTATGCCCAGAGGCCACCGTCATGCCACTGTAGTGACACCTTTTGTGACACTATTAACTACTGCTATCAGAGTGAACAGCTAATCGCTCTTAACTTCTAAACTCATGTATTACACAGTAAATGGATTTTATTAACACAGTTTATACTACTAAGTACATATCTGGCAAAGCTACATGTATACAGAAACCAAGACCCCCCCCCCCAAAAAAGGACAGCAGCACCGACAGACAGGAATGGCCAGTCACAGAGAGGTGCAGCTCGGACAGGTCCTAGGGGACTGCTAGACACAGCGGGCAGCACTGGAGAGAGAAGGGAAGCTGGAGGGGGCGCCGCCCGTCATGCAGGAGACAGTGTGAGAGTCACACGGGCGGCTAGGCCTGTCAGACAGAAAGGAGAGAGAAAACCCACGTGAAACCTCGGCAAGGAAGGGCAGCGGCTCCATCTAGCACAGCGTGGTTCACAGTATTTCTAGGTCACATAGCTTGGCTGCTTCGTGCATGGCTGAGTTCTGGGGACGATGTCTGCTGCCCCCGCCAGCCCTGTGCAGCACAGGTGCTGGCCCGCAGGGTATATCACAGAATCTAGACTGGCTCACTCCTCACAGTCACCAAAGTAAAACTCAATCTTTAAGACTATGTAGGATTAACAATTTGTTAGAAATCTCCTTGATAACTAGCATAAACAGTTTCAAAAGTAACTGTACATAAAAGAAATTCTGAAATGAAAAGCATCTACAGGGCCACTGTGAAGAGGTGACTTCCATTCTCTTAAGAACATCTGAGACATTTCAGAAACTTTAAGAAATCATGGAATTTAAAAGTCTACAGCACATTTTAAACATGCAGTTGATAATCCAAAATAAAGTAAATTTCCACAGGCAGCAACGCATCCTGGGTCCTGCCAGCAAGGAAAGCCAACAGTCTTGACAGAAGGGCCAGACGGCGGGCCTGTGCCCCCGCTCGGACTCACCATGGGACGCTGAGCAAGTCATTTAACCAGCCCGAGCTTCATTTTTCTCATCTTTAAAATGGAAAAATAAAACTTGTTACCACACCTCAAGAATGTTGGGAGGACAAGAAAACATAACTTCTTGTAGCTCTTCAGAAAAAGGATGTTAAAATGCTCACATACTTCCACAAATAGGGCAGCTCCCGCTGTTCATTGCAAAATTCAGCACTATACATTGTTATGCATAAAATACTAACTAAACACTGGGTGGATTCCAAGAATACTTCATGTTTCTCTCTCTCCTCCTCCAGTTCCCAATGGCAGCTCCTCCCCAACCCCTAGCTGGCAGGAGAGAGGGTCTGCCCACCTCAGGCCAGTCTGCTGACTACCCTACCTTGCCACCCAAGCACCTCCCTTAGCCCATGAGAAGCATGGGAAGGCCGGTGGGCTGACCCTACCCAGGCTAATTCCTGTTCACAGGGGCTCAAGGGCCTGGGTGGTTCACTGCATTCTAACACTTTCAAAGCCAGCTACTTCCTTAGACTGCCATGGAAGCATATTCACATTAGGAAGGTGGGCTTCTAATTAGAATGAACAATGTACTGGTTAAAAAACATCCAGCAGTAATTTAAAGGAAGCCAAGTTTTGATCAGAAAAGGATTTGTATACAAAGTATCTGCGTTTTCAGAAGCAAAAGTGCAAAAGAGCACTCACTAGACTCATCTGAGACTCACACTTTATTTTTTTTTTTGAGACAGAGCCTCAAGCTTTCCCCCTGGGTAGAGTGCCATGGCATTGAGACTCACACGTTATACAAAACTGAGGTCCAGGAAGCGGCGTGCAGGGAGTCACGGTGTTCACAATGCACTTAACAGAGCAGAGTGGGGCTTCCCTCAACAAACCACCTTCCACATCCAGAGTTTAACTCAGACACGCGCTATGAATAACTAACATCTGTCACTGACCTTACATTTATTTCTCATGAAGTTTTATTTTGGAATATCACAGGGACACTTCTGTGTGACACCACGCCCAGCCGACAGCAGGCAGCTACTGGCGCCTCATTTGCCTTTCCTTCAACCCCAGTACCCTTTGTTTTAAATGTTATTTCTGAATATTGAGAAAAATTAAATGCCATGTGTCGGTGGTGAACATAACACAATCAAAGGCTGCCGTGTTTATGCTGTGCTAGGCCGGACTGGCCAGCAGAGCAGAGCGACAGCATTTTCCCTATGACAGGAGTGTCAATGTTTTACAAAAGTATTAAAGCCTTTCTTTAAATTAAAATCTCACTCAAAAACTCAATATAAAATAAAATCTAAAAGTCACTTTCTCATTATAAACATATAACAAGTTATTTTAACAAAATAAGTCAATGGAATAATGACGCTTTCTTTATGAGACCCAAAATTTGAAATGTGACTTACAGGTGACAGGTAGATTCTTTTTTTTTTTTTTTTTTTGAGACAGAGTCTCAAGCTGTCCCCCTGGAAAGAGTGCTGGGGCATCACACTCATGGCAACCTCCAACTCAGGCTCGAGCGATCCTCTTGCCTCAGTTTTTCTATGTTTAGTAGAGACAGGGTCTCACTTTTTTGCTCAGGTTGGTCTTGAACTCAAGCTCAAACTCAAGTAATTCACCTGCCTCAGCCTCCCAGAGTGCTAGGATTACATGCGTGAGCCACCGCGCCCGGCCTGTGACAGGTATAGTCTTTTAATATCTGCCTCAACACCCAAACTATTTCTCTATTTTATCTTAATTACATAATACCAAAGAAAATCGTGATGCACACAAAGAAGTGGTTGCAAAGTAACAGCTTTTAGATCGTTTTCAATCTCAGGGAAATCTTCACTGAAACAGAAACATGACGAGGAACTTCATTCTAACACCTCCTCAAAGGCAGATGGATGTGCTGACTGCTCTGCGACCGTGTGGAAGTCAGACCTGACCCTGGAGACGGCTCCTTCTACTGCGCGTGATTTACCTCAGTCAAGTTCATGACAAAGAAACAGCTAAGTATATACACGCCATCACTGACTACGTTTAAATAATGAAACTATACTTTGGGGCAGCGCCTTGTGGCTCAGTGAGTAGGGCGCCAGTCCCATATACCAAGGGTGGCGGGTTCAAACCCAGCCCCAGCCAAACTGCAACAAAAAAATAACTGGGCATTGTGGCAGGCGCCTATAGTCCTAACTGCTCGGGAGGCTGAGGCAAGAGAATCACCTAAGCCTAGGAGTTGGAGGTTGCTGTGAGCTGTGACGCCGCGGTACTCTACCAAGGGCAATAAAGTGAGACTCTGTGTCTAAAAAGAAAAAAAAAACAACTATACTTTGACAATAAAATTCAAATCAAGTTGGTTGAGCTCAGCACTGCCTGTCTGTCTCGGTCAAGGGCTTCCTGGGAAAGTCAGGAGGCCCTCGGCAGCCCAGTGGCGTGCTCACTTCACCTACGGCTCCGTCCACTGCTCAGGGGGAGCTAGCTAGCTCCGTCCACTGCTCACAGATTGTTCAGTAAATCAATCCATGGCCAACACGCTCTGGGATGACTCTTTGGTCAAAGGTGCAAAGCTACCAATGTCTAAAGGCAAATCTGCTGCTCAGGAGACACCCAGTCACAGTGCACGTGTGAACCCCACTAACACATCCACATGAGGAGAAGACAGGAGGAGGGACTGTGTGTCCTCAGGAGTGGTTGCTTTCACCCCTGCCAGCAGGCCTGATGAGGAAGCCCAGCCACGTGTCATCCCTGCACGGAGACAAAAGCAGCTCTCCACAGCCCGAGTCAGTCTGAAAACTGTTAACAGAACTCTGAGCTCTTGGCAATTTCATCATCATCTGCTTTTATATAAATATGGACCTAGAAATACTGTCTCCAGAGAAAGTTCCTCCAAAACTTTATTTGGGCTATCAAAATCTGCATCCTGCCTTCTGAAGCCAGAGAAGGGACCTGCCCTCTGTACAGAGCGTGCAGGGGCAGCAGCAGCCGAGAGGAGAGCACAGTACACAGTTCTGGAGGAGCGCGGGGAGCAGGACCGCCCAGGGGTCATTTCAGCTCTGGACTACCGCCCAGCTGGGTCAGTGGGCAGAGCAGATGCTGATTGGTTGTCTTGGCACAGAAAAAAACAAAGCAGAGCTGCCAGATAAAGACAGTCGAGAGAATCTTTTCCCCCAAATTTTGGCTACTAACATATTTTACAAAATTTTATTTAGAATGCTATCTCTTATAAAATTGCTACAGTTATGGAAAGTCCTAAAGAATAAACAGATTCAGAAAATAAAGTAGATCGTAAGAAAGGCCAAAACTATAATTTGGCAAAACCTCTGTACAATACAACTCATCAAAGTGCACTGCTAAATCTTAAAAATCAATACTTTCCCAGAGAGGCTGCATTCTGCATTCAACAACCCTTCCTGATGAAGCAAAATTCCAAAGACACCAGCTCAATGTACAAAAAAATTATCCCTGTCTTATAAAAATTCATTACAGAGAAAATGTTCAAAAGGCCACATGGTATTTGGCAACCACTGGATAAACAGCCGTGGCAGGAAATCGCAGAGGCAGACCAACCCCCACGCAGAGCCCACGCGGCCTCCTGGCTCGTGGTCAGCCTGACAGCCTCCGCAACAGTTCTGAGAGCCCCACTCCTGGGCCTCGAGGGGAGACACATGGCACTCAGGACCAAGGGGCATCAGGCAGAGCCGCCACCCTACCAATTTTGTTTTTGAGCTGTTCTTTTCTAAAACCCAATTCCACTTAAACAGCACTTTAATTAACTCTAACAAAATCTAGTGCAGCCTGGTCAGTGACGTTAGAAGCACGAGTTAGCAATGAAATGTGTGAGTTAAAGGAGCAAGTTAGTTATCTGCTACTGTAGCACTGATCCCAATATTAAGATGAAACCAGATTATGGATTATGCTTTAAATAGCCAGGACACTCAATCAGCATGTAAGTGCTCCAAGCCAAACAGCCTTCATGGATTCCTAAGAAGAAAATTACACTTCAAACAAACAACAGACCTCAGCTTTAGCAGACAGGGAGAACTCAGCAGCTTAATGGGCACTTAATTGGAGAGGAGGACAGTGTCAGCAGGTGAAAGGCGAGGGCCTCCCGGGCGGGCGTGCAGCTGTGTACTGTACTTACCCCATTCCACTCTACGCTCATACTCACTTCCTCCCCTCCGTCAGGGCCACTCTCGTACTTGACCACGTCCACGTTGAGACTCTCCCTGCTCCTCCGCTTCTCCATGTTCTCAGGGTCATTCAGCACTTCAGCCACTCTCTGTTTGTGAACATTGTCAAGACCCTGCCAGTGGAGGGGAGGACAGTGAGACCCACTAGCACTTACATTTTCTTACATATTTCTGAGGTATTTAAACTTCACTAGGAAAAAAATAATGGTTCTGAATCCGAGGAGGGAAAAACTCAGCAGAGTGGTTCCTCTAGTCCCGCAGGTGAATGTGGAAGGTGAGGAGGGGCTGGAAAGAGACCCAGCCGGCTCGGCTGGCGGCAGGTGGGGTGGACAGCACCCATCAGCGTTCAGGTCTCCTGAGCACACGTCCACAGTGGTACTGCTGAGCCACTCGCTGAATCCAAGTTTAACTTTTAGACAAACCATCAGACTCTCCCATAGTGGCCACACCGTTATACATTCCACCAGCAGTGAATGATAGGGTTTTTTAACTTTGGTGAATCTGGTTTTTCTTTTGCAGTTCAGGCTTTTGGTGTAGTATCAAAGGCCTTTTAAACAATGTATCTTTATTTATACAAACTAAAATTGTAAAGATTTTTTATTTCTAAATCAGCCTTTCAATAAAAAGAAAGAGAATCATATGAAAAAGAATTCATAAATTCAGAGTTCTGACCAAAGACAAAAGGTGTGACTTGCCTGTTTGCGTGACCTCATGGCGGCTTCTTCTAACGTTTCTGCGGCTTCGAATTTGCCCTGCCGTCTGTAAAGCGCCCCCAGATTTTTGAGAGTAGTTGTAACAGTCGGACTACGAGAAAGCACATTACAAGCGCGACATGGAACCCAACTCTGGCAGAGCAGCTGCTGGCAGCGCACACTCTGCAGGGCTGGCCAGCCTGGCATTTTGGTTAGAGTGCATTTTAACATTCTCTGTACTTTTTTTTTTTGAGACAGAGTCTCACTATGTCGCCCTCAGTGGAGTGCTGTGGCGTCATAGCTCACAGCAACCTCAAACTCTTGGGCTTAAGTGATTCTCTTGCCTCAGCCTCCCAAATAGCTGGGACTACAGGCACCTGCCACAATACCCCGCTATTTTGTTGTTGTTGTTGTTATAGCTGTCATTGTTCTTTAGCTGGCCCAGGCTAGGCTCGAACCCGCCAGCCTTGGTACATGTGGCTGGCGCCATAACCACTGCACTACGGGAGCCAAGCCTCTGGCATTTTTTAAAACTGTAAACTGTAGACCTGCTATCACTCTCAGTGGCCCTACCTCCCAGCACAGTGCTGACCTCACACTTCCCAGAGATAGCCCCAAGAGTCAGGCACACCTGCATCCATCCAGGCTGGAGCAGTTCTCATAGCCCACTGGCCACTCCGTTAACAGAAATGTCTGTCTGGTGTGACCAGCACACTTTGCCCTGGAAACAGAGTTGAGTCTGTGTCTGGCAGTAATGAGGACAGTGTTTTAAATGTTGCCATTCACATGCTCCCTCTGTCCACAAATGGAAGTGAGGGCCAAGCAAACCAGAACTTCTGTTAACAGGGTCTGATGGCAGAGGCTGGACACCTTATGCACAAGGGAGCAGTGAGCAGGCCGGGGGTGGGGGGTGGAGTGTTGGGGGAAGCAGGATGGTGATGTCTCTGCATTCCTGACAGCACAGTCTCTCTCTCTCTTTTTTTTTTTTTTGTGAAAAATGGTATTTATTAGTTAAAGACAGAAACCACATTGCTACAATCTTTTGCAGATAGGAATAATATTATAAGGGATTAGCCTTCATAGCTATCATTGGTTTATCAGTTAGGTGGATGATGATGGTTATTTCTTTTTTTTTTTTTTTATTAAATCATAGCTGTGTGCATTAATGCAATCATGGGGTACAATGTGCTGGTTTTATATACAATTTGAAATATTTTCATCAAACTGGTTAACATAGCCTTCATGGCATTTTCTTAGTGACAGCACAGTCTTGCTAGAAAATTAAATGTAAACCTAAATTGACTTTTGTATAGGTAAGTACTCCGAGAGACCGTTTCTCTCTTACTGATGGGCACTTCAGGTACAGAAGTTAGGAAGCCGTCCACTGTTTCTCTGATGCAAATACACAACCATGGGAAAAAGGAAAGATAAGACTTTAGTATGTTATGGTGAGAGCTATGGGGGACTCAGGGGAGGGGCATTAATTACAAACTAGGGCTCACTGAGTTTTCCTGAAATACATGAACAGTAAGTTGAGTCTCAAAGAATGATGAAAGTTAAGACTCGAAAAACATAGGCAGGGTATGCCACTCAGCCTGAGGGACAGTGGCCACGGGAGGGCCACACGTGGGGTGGAGCACACAGACACCAGGCTCCAGGGGCTGTGCTCGGAAGGCCTCCCCTCCCCTCTGCAGAGCATGGAGCCCCATAAACCGTAAGAAAAAGACAGGTGTGAGTGTCTCCCTGGGTTGCAAAGGGCTGTCTTCCCAGGCCCTGGGCACACTATCTGGGTTATGTCTTTCCCTTCAGTTACTCTGGACAAAGTAGTGCTAATGGACAGAACCATTATACTGATGTGGGTTTCATATATGTGCATGACCTCATTTGCAATGTTAGTGGGATAAAGCTTCAACTGGAATTTGGGAAGCCAGGGGAATGAGCTACCATGACTTCTTAAGAATTTTCTGCATTGGGCCATTTACATGTTGCTCTAGAGAATACTACTGCTTTGCCCTGGTTGTTTTTGTTTGTTTTTTCCAACTAAAAAGACATACCTATCAACTTTGCAGGCTTTGTACCAGCCACCATACTCTCCGAAAGATGTCCCATCCTTTTGCTTTCCCTAAATTGTAACAAATAATTTCAAATGAATAATTATCTTGAATTATACAGTATATTCAACTTAGAAAATCTCAAAATGGTATATTCTTACTTTGCACTCTTCTCTTTCTTCAGCATGCATCCAAATGGGTTTATTTTCATCTAGGGAAGAAAAAATTGCACACAGACTGAGCACCCCAAATCCAAAAATCTGAAATCCAAAACACTCTGATAAGTAACAAATCTATGCACAAAAAGTTTCAAATTTTGGAGCATTTTGGACAAGGGATACTCAACTATACTGTAAATTGAAACACAATACGTATAGAGCCTACAAGACAGAAGTTAAGCCTCAGTGATTGTGAGCTTTTTGTTTGGTCTTTTTTTTTTTTAAGACAGTCTCACTTTATCACCCTTGGTAGAGTGCTGTGACATCACAGCTTACAACAACCTCCAACTCCTGGGCTTAGGTGATTCTCTTGCCTCAGCCTCCCTAGTAGCCGGGACTACAGGCGGCCGTCACAACGCCCAGCTATTTTTCTGTTGCAGTTTGGCCGGGCCGGTTCAAACGCCACCCTCGGTATATGGGGCCGGCGCCCTACTCACTGAGCCACAGGCACCGCCCCTGGTTAGTTTTTTAAGCCAGTCAAATTTAGCAGCGGGAGGCTGAATACCAACTGTAAAGACACTCATGTTACAGCCCCTGATGACGCACTACCATCGAGCCAGCCCACAATTTGCGTCTGTGAGGTTAAAGTCGGAGCTGCAGTTGTGCCCTTTACCCAGGAAGTGTGCACAGTTCCGCAGTGAGCACACCCTCAGGGTGGGGTTACCCGCCTGCTCCCCTCCTTGAATGTAACTGAGTGTTTCTCTCACTTGAGTGTGCAGTTGTTAATCTCCTGGTTCTAATTAAGTACTGGGCACAAGTTATACTCGTTTTTCCACTCTTGGGATTCTTCACATAGAACATTCTCCAGATCCACAGGTAGTTACAAAAGATAGCAAATCTTTTGTATCCCGGCTGAACGGTATCCCATGGTATGCACAGACCAGTTTGTTAACCCATTCATGCGCTGAACACCTGGGCTGTTTCCACATCTTTGCAATTCTGAATTGTGCCTCTATGAACACATGAGTGCAAATGTCCTTAAAGTATCTTTTTGGGTTTTTTTGGGTTTTTTTGAGTAGACACTTAGTAACGGGACTGCAGGATCAATGGAAAGCCTACTTTTAGCTCTTCTGAGGATTCTCCATGCTTCTTTCTGTGCTGGCTACACTAGTTTGATATCCTACCAACAGTGCACGAGTGTTCCCTTCTCTACACACCCATGCCAGCATCTGCAGCTTTGGGACCTTGTGATATGGGCCATTCTCACAGGGTTTAGGTGGTGTCTCAGAGTGGTTTGGATTTGCATTTCTCTGAAGATCAGGAATGATGAGCATTTTTTCAGGTGTTTCTTGATCATTCATCTGTCCTCATGAGAAATATTTCTGTTCATGAGGACAGGTGTAGCGACTCACACTTGTAATCCCAGCACTCTGGGAGGCCGAGGCAGATGGACTGCCTGTACTCATGGGTTCAAGACCAACCTGGGCAAGAGTGAGACCCCGTCTCTAAAAATAGCTGGGCGTTGTGGCAGGCACCTGTAGTCTCAGATACTTGGGAGGCTAAGGCAAGAGAATCACTTGAGCCTAAGAGTTTGAGGTTGCTATGAGCTGTGATGCCACAGCACTGTACCCAGGGTGACAAAGTGAGATTCTGTCTCCAAAAAAAAAAAAAAAAAAAAATTTCTGTTCATGTCTTTTGCCTAATTTTTAATTGAGTTGATCTTTTCTTATTGATTTGCTTGAGTTCTCTGTAGATTCTGGTTATTAGCCCTTTGTCTAATTCGTAGCAGGCAAATCTTCTCCCATTCTGTAGGCTGTCTCTTTGCTTTGCAGATTGTATCCTTAGCTGTATAGAAATTTTTTTTTTTTTAAAGACAGAGTCTCACTTTGTCTTCCTTCATAGAGTGCTGTGGCGTCACAGCTGACCACAACCTCCAGCTCTTAGGCTTAGGCAGTTCTCTTGCCTCAGCCTCCCCAGTAGCTGGAACCACAGCCGCCCGCAACAACGTCCAGCTATTTTTGTTGCAATTTGGCAGGGGCCAGGTTTGAACCCGCCACCCTCAGTACATGGCGCCACCCTGTACAGAAATTTTTTAACTGGATCAGGTCCCACTTATTTATTTATTATTTTTTTATTTTTTCAGACAGAGTTTCACTATGTTGCCCTGGGTAGAATGCCGTGGCATCATCGCTCATAGCAACCTCAAACTCTTGGGCTTAAGTGATCCTCTTGCCTCAGTCTCCCACGTAGCTGGGACTACAGGTGCCTGCCACAATGCCCAGTTATCTTTTGGTTGTAGTTGTCATTGTTGTTTCAGCAGGCCCAGGCCGGGTTTGAACCCACCAGCTCCAATCTATGTGGCTGGAGCCCTAGCCACTGAGCTACAAGCGCTGAGTCATTTTTGTCTTTTTCATAAATTCTTTCCCTAGGCCAATTCTGTCAAGAATTTTTGGCTAGGCAAGGTGGCTCACACCTGTAATCCTAGCACTCTGGGAGGCCAAGACAAGTGGATTGCCTGAGCTCAAGGGTTCGAGACACCCCCCCCACCCCGCAAAATAGCTGGACATTGTGGTGGGTGCCTGTAGTCCCAGCTACTTGGGAGGCTGAGGCAAGAGAATCGCCTAAGCTCAAGAGTTAGAGGTTGCTATGAGCTGTGACACCACAGCAGTCTACCCAGCATGACAAAGTGAGACTATGCCTCAAAAAAAAAAAAAAAAAAGTTTTCCTACACTTTCTTCTAGGGTTTTTATAGTTTCTTATCTTAGATTTAAATCTTTTACCCAGAATGAGTCATTTCTGTCAGTCTTCCACACGTGGCTCACCAGCTCCCCCAGCACCTGTGTGGACTGGTGACTCTTTTCTCCAGTGTGTGCTTCTGCCGGCTTTGTTAACACGGAGCTGGTTCAGCTCTGGAGTCTCTGTTCTGCTCCACAGACCTGCATTTCTATTTCTATGCCAATACCATGGTGTTCTGATCACTCTAGACTACAGCATAACCTCAAGTCTGATGAAGTGATGTGTCCAGATTTGTTATTTTATAGAATTATGTTGGCCAGTGGGGGTTTTTTCTGGTTCCATCCGAAACAAAGAACTATTTTTTCAAGATCTTTAAAGAACTATATTGGTGATTTAATGGAGATTGCATCAGATCTATAGATTACTTTGAGTAGTACAGATATTTTAACAATGTTGACTCTTCTCAGCCATGAGCATAATATGTTCTTCCATCTGTTAACATCCTGTGTAATTTCTTTTCCCAATGTTTCATAGTTCTCTCTGTAGAGATCCTTCACATCCTTTGTTAAATATATTCTTTTTTTTTTTTT